TCCCTAATGATGACTAGTAATGTCGCACAATAATCGAAGTATAAATAACACCTGTTTTTATTTGGCTTGAGTAATTTTCCTCTTTTCTTAAATTTCCAGAATCTTACAATCTTTTATACAATTTTAAATATTTTCACTATTAAAAAAAGCGCGAAATCGATTTAAAAAACTTTTGTTATCTTTTTAAATTTTTTATTACTCTTCATGGGATTGAGAAATTTCTTTTACTTATTTTCATCTAATTTTCACATTGTTTCATAAACAAATCAATAAACAGCACTTACTCAAAATCGCAGCAATTATTCGCAATAAATTTCACCACTGTTCTACTTACATATAAATTCATTTGATCCCTGCGATCCACCGCTGCCACCGTTCGCTTCTGTACCATTCGTGGTAATACTGATCGTGGAACACTTGAAGCCGTCGTTGACGTACACATGATCTAATGCTGGATTTGTCTTCATTGTGTATGCGGCACTGTCACTCACTCCTCCAACAAACTGGATACCTGTCTCACTTGTCACTTAGCTATGCAGTAGACGCGTTGGGAAAAAGATTGGCCGCGTTGGCATAGAGTTTGCGCGCGTATATATGTAGCTCCACAATCAGTATGTTCTCAGCGTAAGTGCTGTTGGTTTACTTTTACTTTATTTTTTGCGACTTCGTTTTTTATTTTTCTCTGTTGTTCTTCTCGTATTTCAATGTAATCAGATTGCATGAAAATATTTGTTTAACTTGCCTTAAATATTTCTTAGTATATTTAGTCTTTTTTTTTTGTGTTTTGTTATACACGTCTTTGGATGTGTTGCTCCTTCTTCCTTTTTTGTTGTTAGTGTGGAATTTTGCTGTAATTGACGAAATATGATATTCGATTAATAAAGCATTTCCGTTTGTATTTTTTCGTTTTCGATTCTTTTTATTGTTGTTGTGCGAATTCTTTTCATTTATGGTTTTTGCGTATTTGGTAAATGTTGTTGTTGATACAAATGTATGTATGTATTTAAATATGCATATACATATGTATGTAATTATAAACAAATGAAGGTAGTATGAAAGTAAAATTTATTTTTGCGCGGTTTCTTTTTTATATCTTTGGGTCTGCAAATGTACGTTCATATAAATACTACGACCGCCTACTCATGCATACATATATATATGTATGTGTGTCCTTTCGAATTATCTTGGAGTTATTTAAATCCTAATATGCACAAATGTACACATGTATATACATATGTATCTAATAAATGAAATGCATATGTATACATATATGATAATTAAACATTTCCTAAAGTTGTCGAATTGTTAGAAGTGCGTACTACCACTCTGTGGAATCTGGCTTTGATCGCAAAATCTAAAATTAGAAAGCTGTCAAGCGTCGGGTGGCTATGACAAATCTTCGAGTGTATTTATGCCTTGAAAAAGTTTCTCATAAAACCATTTGCCGTTTGGAGACGGCATTCAATTGTAGGGCTACATCCATTTGTGTTATAACATCAGCACACATACCACAATTTGGAGGAGAAACTCGGCCAAACACTTAGCAAAATTGTAAGCGCAGAAAATTTATTATATGATTTTTAAATAAATAGAGGCAATAATTTGTGTCTGTTATAAGACGAAATATAATCTTTTAACTGATATACGACAAGCACTTTCTCTTCTTTTTTCCTAGCTAAACGCGGATCGCAGAGCGTTTTGTGTAAAGAAATATGTATGCATGTATATATTTTAAAACCTGTTTTTTCACTAAAACAAAGATATGAAAAAATGTTCCCCATTAAATTGTTTGAGAAGCTGAAAAAATGTAAAATTTTTAAAATTTCTTCCCAAATGTTAAAAGTAATTAAATTTTGGCTGCAAGTTTTATAAAAATACATATGAATAACTTAACCATGTTGGGGGCCATTTTCATTGATAAAGGAATTAATTAATCAAACCTGAAAGATTCAGACATATTCCTGCACTTAAAATTGTGCCATGTGAAACCATTACGATATTAACGATATGAATAGTGAAAAGAATGTATATAATAATTGGTCAATCAAGCTTCAATTAAAAATGCATTCAAAAGTAGTCGAATATTCTTAAAAAAAAATAATTATTTTGAATAAAATTATCACAAATAGCGAAGAGCTTTAACGCATGTACATACATGTAGATACATATGTAGAATGTGAAACTTTTGAAAAAAAAATATTAAAAAAAACAAAAATTTTTGGCTAATAAATTTTTTTAACTGTTAAATAAGTCTCTCCGTGGTATGACTAACAGAGTTGCCAGTAAAAAAATTTTTCCTACTGAATTAGATAAGAACTGACCACATTTAGTATTTCCAAATACATAAGTATGTATGTATGAGACACATTAAATTACAGTTCGTGTGTTAGACTATATAAGATTAAGATAACCGGGAGCATTTGTATGTAAATTTAGCGAAACGTCACTGCCTATCGTCCTTCCTCATTTGTATTGTGGATCTGCAACGCTTGTAAGGTCCAGATGATGATGATGGAAACAAAACACCAAATAGGCAGCTTTAATAAGAGCTTTAAGGCTCATGAGCATATCTAGCCAATTTAGTAGCTTTGGCCATTATCAGATAACATTTCTGACAGTCGGTAGACCCGCTGGTCGGTGCTGGCATCATTTATAACTCAATTAACATACGGGGCATAGGAACTGGCTCAACAAACTCGAACGAAGAAAATAGTCATTCACAGCAAAAGTTTTTTATATTTTCATATTATGAAAATAAGTATCTAGGAAATATTATTTTTTTCATTTATTTTAAAATAAACAGTCCAATTTTATTTTCAAATTTTACAGTAGAGAATTAAAACCTTTCAAATTTAATTTCTTTAAGCACTTATTTGCAAAAAAAATTGCCCATCTTCATTTGTACAATACATATCACTACGTAATTTTGGAGTATTATATATCATTGAAAAGATTTTTAAGCACTACATGTATGTTAGTTGAAGTAAATTACCTTCTTCCACAAGTAGAGTTTTTTAATTTTCTACATATCTTCCCTGCAAACCATTTGTTCAGAGTATTCTGCATTGTAAAGAAATTTTAAAGAATTCGTTAAGATTTAATTCGATTTTTTGCCGAATTTTCTAAAATGAAATAAATTACGCACACTTCCATTCTTTTACGAAATTTCGGATGAAAATCTGTGAAGCAACGAAAATAATGGGGCTATGTGAAGAATATCTTTCAGAATTTGTCCAGAATTTTCTTTATTTTTCGTACAGAAATTTCTTTACGAGTTCGTGTCAACCACTTCATATAATTTTCTTTGAAAATTCGTAAAAAAATTGTTACAGAAATGAGATACTCTGAACGATTTCCTTAAGATTTCGGGAACTTTGGTTTGCAGGGAAAGTACGATTTTAGCTACCATAAAATTCAAAATCGAGTAAGTGATGTATTTTGCCATGATCCTAAAGGTATGTTAACGCCCGTGTATCTTTTTTCGGACAATAAATTGTATACTACTGCGAAAAAACCTCGTTTCGCAGTATTTCAATTTAAAAATAAAGGCATTTTTTACAGTAAAGTATTTTTTGAAACAGTTTTCCAATAAAATAAAGGAATTACTGGTATTATGTGTACCGTTGTACACCCCGAGACAAAATGATATATCTAACAAAAGCAATACATATAGTTCAAAATTTCTCCCTTTATACAAAAATTGTAAAAAGTTGAACAATAATAAAATTTTAATTTTAAAAGATACTATGTTCGAAGAAAATAATAACACCGTCTCAAAAAAAAAAAAAAAAAAAGTCAACGTAAATTCTTAGCATATTGAATCTAGCGTTTTGTAATTTTTCCAAAAATTATGAATACAAAGTTCGTTCTGAAAATTTTTTAACTTCTCTGCAAAGTTTGAAATGGGGATTTGTATGGTGTTAAGTATTATAAATTAACTTCTTTTACTTTAATGGCGCTGTAACCGCCTAAGCGATTTTGGCCGAGTCCATAACAGCAAGCCAGTCGTTTATTTCTGTGCCAACTGACGTTAATTGCAAATGCCAAGTGAAGCCAAGTCCTTCTCCACCTGCTCTTTAAAACGTATAGGGGGCCTTCCTCTTCTCTCTCTCTGTTACCTCTGTTACCAGCATCGCGGCGCGTTTTGAATACTTTCAGACCAGGAGCGTTTCTGTCCATTCGAACGACATGGCCAAGCCAGCGGAGCCGCTGAATTTCAATTCGCTACACTATGTCCATATCGTTGTAAAGCTCATACAGCTCATCGTTAAATCGTCTGCGGTATTGGCCATCGCCAAAGCGTAAGGTCAGTAAATCGTTCGCAAAATTTTTTTCTCGAATACTCCAATAGCCGCCTCATCGGATGTTGTCATTGTCCATGCTTCTGCGCCATATATGTATTAGCACAGGCATGGTGAGTAACTTATAGAGTGTGATTTTTGTACAACGAGAGAGGACTTTTAATTAATTAACTAGTATTTAATAAAAAAAATATAATAAACATTAAACAAACGAAAGGAAAATAGTCAAAACTGGCCAAGATGTCGTGACCCTATTTTCTAACATTACATACAGTATATATATGAGTTCTTTAACGTGTTTCCACGAGTAAAAAAATTAGGCAGCGAAAAAGTAAAATGCAGTATTTTTGAAAAAAAACCGCAGGATCCAATTTTGGAATAAAAAAAAACAAAAAAGTATTATACTGCCAAAAAAAGTATAGATACGACCGTTAGGTGTATTTCAATGACGTATCATACCCAGAATCATAAAAAAAAAACAGATTTTGGCTGTTTTTAGGATGTACCAAAGACCAAAATTTTTATGACCTCAAAACCATTTTAAAGAAATCTTTCTGGAAGGTGGTATTTACCATTTTTTGAATGGGGACCGACTCTGTCTAATGTATATTTTAAGGATTATTGTATAAATTACTATTTTTCCATGGGAATAAAGCACAGTTATTCAAATTTTTTCCAAGCAAAAAATTATAAATGAGATACTTAACGCAACTTTAGGTGACATTTTATTCGTTAAAAACTTCTTCAAGCTAGCTAAAAGCTGTGAGGCTCATTTTTGCTTGCTAAATAACGAGCGCTAACAAAGGACACGTGCCTATCTTTCCGAAATTTGAAAGCCCCTAGCAAAGTTTTGATTCAAAGTTTTTCGGTTTGTTTAAATAATCAATTTGTAAAGAAATATCTTTGAAACTCAGACTAAAAGTATAAAGGAACATTTCATGTGTTCACATTTTAGCTGAAATAATGAGGTGTATTCTCGTTTTCGTACGAATCGAAAATTTTATATTTTTGTATGGAAAATGATAGGAAAATTATATAATTTTCAATTCGTGCGAAAACAAGAATACGCGCAAATATCTATAATGTCGTTGGAATTAAAAATATTAAAAACAGTACACAATTCAACTGCATTTATTCACACAGCACACTCACAAATAAACGTTTAGGAATGCTTACTTTTTTTTTGTTCGTTTAGGTCCGCAATTAAATTCAAACAAAGCATGCAAAATTTCTTTGCTATTATTATTTAAATTCAAACGAATTCCCGCACTAGCGAAAGGTTATTTGAACGCTTAAAGCACTCAGCTAAAGCGGCCACAATGTGCACGCGTAAAACGCTCCAAAACCGTTTCCACACTTTTATTTACTTTGAATTCGTTTAACCGTAACGTATTCAATTAAATTTATTCACTTTGTTTTTTTTACTGAAAAGTTTTTTATTTCAGTTTTCTTCTGTACGTTACACGCTTTACGATTTTAGTAGCTACCTCGCCGCGACGACGTTTTAAATGAAACTGTTTTCGAACTTGGCTCGAAATGAGTCTTTATAAAAATCAACACGGTTATTTTGCGAGTCAAAGATCGTCAGTTAGCCCAGTTTAGTTCAGCCGAGGCAGCGATTCATGGATAGACTTGCTCTCTTTGCGCTCTACTAGCACTTGTTCGCTCATTCTGCTCTTGATTTTTGATGTCGGTTTTGTTGCCTTTGTGTTACTCATTCAGCGTTGACTGCTTTGCAGTTTGTTATTTGTTTATGTCGGTGTCGTATTTCTAAAGTTTACTTATTTGTTGTTATAACCGCATTGTTTAATTTTGTTTTTATATATAATTTCTGCATTCTACACATTTTATACTGCAGCGTCGCGACAACCAGACATCGTGGCGGATTTTTTATTTTAATTTCATGCCTTCCAGTCCGCCTACATCTTCTCCACTTGCCACATCTGAGTCAGCCGGTTAGCTCCTCCACTTTTTGGATGTTTCCCTTATGAATACCGTCGCTCGTTAATACCTAAAGGCCGGTTCACATAGAACTTTCGCGTTGGAGTTGGCGTTGGCGTCGAGTAATAGCTGACTATGAATACACACAATTATTTGGACATACCCACATATCAACGGCGAAGCCAACTTTAACGCATACAAAAAGATGGGCATCTGTCATCTTTTTGGACGCGTTGTCAATCAGCTCTTGCAAATAAATAAAATTATGTGAAATATTTTTAATTTTTAATCAAACGTGGGCAAGAAATATCGTTTTCATGCAATTACTGATATGAAATATTAATTTATCTGCCGTTAGTATGTTAATTTAGTGGTCAAATCATTCGCGGCCAAGCGTTCATTCTAGTAAGCATACATACATTTAACGTGCGTTCTGTCAAACCAACGCCAACGCGAAAGTTTTAGGTGGACCTGCCTTAACACTCGGCCAGGTAGACATCCTCTTCTCCAACGATCTACCTGCACTGCGACGATGAGTAATTATGTACCGCATTTAACCTCACAATTTGCTCTGTTCATGTTTGCCGTAAGTTGAAGTGGTTTATCTCTTATCTTTCGAAATTAGTTTGCTGAGAAATCAGTTGCCTTTGCTCGAAATATGCCTGTGTGCCGGTCGCAAATTCTATTCACTCATGTCTCCTCTCTCGCTCTATATTCAAGTATGTACATACATATGTATGTGTGTAGATATGTATCATGCGTTTTCACTACCTGCTTATCATGAATGCCGCAAGATCATCGTCACACGTTGCCAGTGATCTTCGTGTTCTAATGTGTTG